GAGATGGTTCCTACAAAGTTTCTCCTTTTCTCTTTGCTGGATTTCAAAGAGTGGGAATGTCTTTTCAGCATCTGTCAAGTTCTGCTGAGGACCATCAACTTCTCAGATTTGGGGAGGGAGTCGCCTGGAGACAGAAACCTCTTCACAGTCCAACTTCTTGGATTGCAGAGAGTGAGCTATGACAGATGCTTCATGACACCAACAGGATAGCCACCTACAAGAGCTTTCATCCCTGCGTCTCAGCTACTCTGGACCTGGGACAGCCTCAGTGTGGAAACCTTAGAGGGAACTGGGGCAAGTCTTGTCAAGTTTTCAGTGTTGTCTTTTTAGTTTTAATATATATCGGTCAATGCCTAGGTTTTTCTTCCCAGGCTTGGAAAGATGTTGTTGATGACAGCTCCCAACCTGATTGCTTGAACCCTTAGGAACAATTCAGTCTTCAGCAATGAGATCTCTTAAAAGCTGGCATCTTCTTGTACTATGTGAGACATGTGGAAGGAACAGACCTCCCTCTAGGTCCTCTTGATGTCTCGCTGTTCTCCTCTTCTCTCTTCACCGGATACCCTTCAGTTACCTCCAACTCCACATCCGCATGGCCTAGGTTCTGTTTTGAGGGCAACCAGGCCTTCCCTGTCAAAACAAAATGAGGAAGCAATTACGAGAAAGGACTGTGAAACTGTAAGTGGTTGCTTTTTTGCCTGAAACTTAAGATACCCCTCTGATTGGAACCACACTGCCCAGTATTTCCTCCGTTGAGATGTTCAAACAAGGAGGTCAGCAGGGCTGGCAGCTGAAAAGAAAAATCATTCTATCCAGCTGGCGTTGGCTGCTGCCGCACTGTAGAGATAATGCAGTTTGACACCGCTTTAACTGTCATGCCTCCATTCTATGATATCCTAGGATTTGTAGATTCTTGCAGCAACAGAGCGCTCCAACAGAGAAGCTAAATATCTCATGAAACTGCCGATCCCAGGATTCTATAGCACTGAGCCGTGGAATCTAAAGCAGAATCAAACTGCATTAATCTTGCAGTGTAGATAGAGTTGTCATAATAGGAGCCCTGGTGCTCTTGCATTGAGGATGCACAAGAGAGAAAGAGTGGGAGAAGAGATAGAAAGAAAGAGAGAGGAAGAGGGGGGGGGGGAGAGAGGAGATCTAGTGTGGGAAGCCATGATGGGGGCCAGCCATCCTGCTTTGTTTTGCACCGTTGAGTCATTTCCAACTTATGGCAACCCTAAGGCAACCCTATCATGGGGTTTTCTTGGCATGATTTGTTCAGAGGGGATTCTGAGAGAGGCAGTGTGGTGCACTGGTTTTTAATCAGAGAGAGTTTGTCCATTGCCATCCTCTGAGGCTGAGACAGTGTGACTCACCCAAGGTCATCCAGCGAGTTTCTGTAGCTGAGCCAGGATTCAAACCCTGATTCCCAGAGTTGTAGTCCAATGCTCAGACCACACTGGCTCTTCATGAAGGTTCACAAGCAAGAGGAGGAAGGTGCCTTGCAGGTTTGCATCTCGGCTTGCCTGACACTATCCACTTGCAGAGAAGAGCTGGTGTTCGCTTACCTTGCAATACGAAACGCAATTGTCTCAGGCAGATTCAGCCCAAGGGACTTCAGGTGAGATAAACCCTCCACAGCAAGGATGGAAGAGCTCTAATTTTATTTGATTTTGCCTCTCTCTTATAATCCACATATTTTAAAAAGGCATGTGTAGACCCTGTCTCCTCACCTCCAGAAATCCGGCAGAGAAATTGCAAGCCTCCTTGAAAGCTCTGACCTCCAGCATGAGTGTCATAATCAAAATTAGATTTGCACACACTCCAACCTTTTGCAAATGAAAACCAGGACTTATGCGGCCAAGATAGGGTGGCCAGATGTCCTCCTTTTCCAGGACATTTCCATTTTCTGTCCAGGAGGAATTGCAAAATGTCCCCCATTTGGAGCATGACCAAGATGCCCAGACTGATTATTATATTAGTGCTTTTTTAGCTGTTATTTTGTAATGTCCTACATTTTTCTTGAACGGCCCACATTTTGTGGTGCCTTGTCCTCCTTTGTGGTTAGGATGCTCACCCTGGGCCAAGAGCATGCTCAAGACAGAGCGTAAAAGGTATGAATAAACAGGAGGAACACGCAAACCAGGAGAAGAAGCAGCAGTTTGCTTTTGCCCAAATCTCCTGGAAAGGCCATGAGTCCACCCTTTCCTCTTCCCTCTTCCAAAATTAATTGAGTACAATCTATTTTTGCACTTTGAACTCAAATTTGCAGCAATGGAACTAAGCTAAGGATAGTAGAAAAGTGGGAGGAGGAGAGAGAAACCGGGATCTTTTAAATGCATTTGAGAAAGTGGGACAACAGAGGATTAACCAGGACTGTCCCTGTCCAACTTCCTCTACAGGCTACCAGCTTCTTTCTTTCAGTTAGTCTTAAAGGTGCTGCAAGACCCCTTTGCACATATTTTAAAAAATCACCAAAGAAAATATTTTGCAGAATGATATATAAGAAAGCAAAAAGGTGTCTCACCTGGCCAGGTACTTTATTCCATTGCTGCTGGCTCCAAAATACTGTGCCTCTCTCTTTCCCTCTCTGACTTTCTTTCACCACTTTGTAATCCAATCTGCATTGGAAAAGAGAAACAGGAGAGCTACCTATTCTGAAAGGTAAGGCTGGCCCAGTATCAGGTATTAACTCTTCCCCTGAATGACCCTCCTGTTTGTCTCTTGGGCTGCTTCTACGCTGCAGAAATAATGCAGTTTGACACTGCTTTAATGGCGATGGCTCCATGCTATGGAATCCTGGGATGTGTAGTTTTGTGGGCCGGTTCTAGCCCAGGGCCCCGCACTTACTGGCCCAGGCAGACCCCTACCGCCGCCGCCGTGCGTTTTGGATGACGCGCGGCTGCGTGCACCACAACCGCCATTTTGTTTTCAAAAGTGGCAGCCGTGATGCATTTGCGCATGCGCAGGAGTACTGCACATGCGCAAACAAGTCGCGGCCACCATTTTAGAAAACAAAATGGCGGTCGCTAGTGGCAGGAGCCATTTTGTTCTCCAAAATGGCAGCCGCGACATGTGCAGAGGTGGCTGCGGCAGTGCACGCAGTGGCGGCGGCGGTAGTAGTAGCGGTGGTGGAAGCAGCGCGTGCGGGGGTTGCGCACGTGCGGCGGCGGGGATTGTGCATGTGTGCGTGAGCACGCGCCAACATCCCCCCCGACCCGCCGGAAGGGACAACTTCGTGGGAAGTTAGGCCCCCGGCTCTAAAAGGTTGCCTACCCCTGCCCTATAGGCTCAGGCAAAAGCAACCTGCTGCAGCCTCTCCTAGCTTATGTGTTCTTCCTCCTGAATAACTTTGGCCACCCTGATCACACTCTGATGTTGCCTGGCCATTTGTGTCCTGGTTTCCATTGGTGAAGCATTGGAGGTAGCATTTCGTGCAGGGGTAGAATCATAGAATCATAGAATCATAGAGTTGGAAGAGACCACAAGCGCCATCCAGTCCAACCCCCTGCTATGCAGGAACTCCCAATCAAAGCATCCCTGACAGATGGCGATCCAGCCTCTGCTTAAAGAGGCAACCTTTCCTCTTTAAGGGTAGGCAACCTTTCCCCTTTAAGGGCCAAGGGACTTCAGCTCCCAGAATCCCAGGAACTATTGGCCAACATGGGACTATTGGCCAACATGGCTGAGGCTTCTGGAAGCTGAAGTCCCTCGGTCCTTAAAGGGGAAAGGTCGCCTAGTGGTTTGAATATTGGACTCTGGTTCTGGAGACCAGGGTTCAAGTCCCTGCTCAGCCCTGAAACCCACTGGGTGGCCTTGGGTTTGCTCTCAGCCTCAGGAAAAGGCCATGGCAAATGTCCTCTGAACAAAATCTTGCCAAAGAAACCCCATGACAGCTTTACCTTAGGATCGCCATAGGTTGCAAATGAATTGAAGGCATACAGCACACACAGCATGCCCCCCAAAAAACATGCACAGACTAGCTATGTTTTTGCATGGTGACCTCCCCTGTTCCAGCATAGTTTAAAACCCTGACAATAAAAGACATTTATGAGGGTGACTGTCTCATGAACCTGAGCTGAACCTATGCCTTGGGGGTGCATTTGCAAGAATTACAAAGATGATGATGATGATGATGATGATGATTAAGATGATGGCCCCATTAAAGCAATGGCTAGACAGCAAATCCCACTGACTCATCTGCCTCCTGGCTTCTTTTATGAACCTCACCCAATTTTGACTTGGATAAACAGCATTTAAAATGGGATCCTGTGCTGGAGGTTTTCCCCTGAGAAGGTGGTGCCTGAGGTTCGAACTAGATGCTGCATTGAAACATGTAGCATCGAGCTTTAAGAGGCTCTCTTTTAAAAATAATTCACAACTGTATAAACTCAATAAGATTGTGAGAGCTTTGTTGCTGTTGTCTCATGCCTTCAAATTGTTTCCGACTCCGGGCAACCCTAAGGCAACCCTATCATAGGGTTTTCTTGGTAAGTGTATTCAGAGGGGGGTTTGCCATTGCTATCCTGAGGCTGAGAGAGTGTGACTTGCCCAAGGTTGCCTAGTAGGTTTCCATGGCTGAGCCAAGATTTGAACTGTGCTCTCCCAGTGTCCTAGTCCAACACCCAAACCATTATACCATGTTGGCCCTCAGTCCATGCACATAACATCTATATAAAATGAATAAAACAAAAGAAGCAGTTGTCCTAATAGTATAATCGTCATTGTTGGTGCTGCAACTATGATTAAAGTTTTGAATATTCACATTTTGGAGAGAAAATAGTGCTATGTAGGGTTTAGAGAGGCTGTAAACTGGAAAGGGTTTCTCTTCCTTTAATGGCTGTCAGTTGGTTCTGGGCCTTTGCAGACTGCCAGAAATAGTGCAAATTGAGTCCACTTTAAGAGTTAGGGTTAGGGAATCATGGGAACTGTAGTTTATTGTGGCACCAGAGCTCTCTGACAGAGAAGGCTCAATGTCTCAGAAAAAAACCAATTCCCATGATTCCCTAGCACTAACCCTAACCCTTAAAGTGGACTCAATTTGCACTATTTCTGGCAGTCTGCAAAGGCCCTCTGACTCATGGTCACCCTAATGGGGGTTTCTTAGCACGATTTGTTCAGAGGGCATTAGCCATTGCCTTCCCCTGAGGCTGAGAGAGTGTGACTTGCCCAAAGTCATCTAGTGGTCAAGATCTCCGAAGAAGGAAACTCCTCCATTCTCTAAGGCAGTGCCTTCCACAGCTCTTGCTATCAGGAGCCATTCGTCCTAATGTTGAGGTGTAATCTCTTTTCCTGTAGCTTGCATCCATTGTTGGGAGTATTATTCTCTGGAGCATCACAAGTTTACTCCATCCTCAATATGTCACCCCTTCAAATATTTAAACAGGGCTATCATATCACCGCTTAATCGTCTCTTCTCCAAGCTAAACATACTCAGTTCCCTAAGTCGTTCCTCACAGGGTTTTATGGTTTCCAGACTTTTCACCATTTTGGTCACCCTCCTCTGGACACGCTCCAGCTTCTCAACATCCTTTTTGAATTGTGGTGCCCATAACTGGACACAGTATGCCAAGTGAGGCCTGACCAAAGCAGAATACAGTGGCACACTATTACTTACTTCTATTGATGCAGCCTAAAATGGCATTGGCCTTTTAAGCTGCGGCATCACACTGTTGACTCATGTTCAACTTGTGGTCTACCAGGACTTCTAGATCCTCTTCACATTTACTGTTGTCAAGCCAGGTGTCCCCTGTCTGTGCATTTCCAAGTGTAACACACCTTGTATTTCTCCCTGCTGAAACTCATTGATGAGCACCAGCACTTCAGAGTAAACTAGGACTACGTCCGCACTGCAGAAATAATGCAGTTTGACATCACTTTAACTGCCATGGCGCAATGCTATGGAAATTTGGGGATTGTAGTTTTGCGACATAGGGCCTTTGCAGACTGCCAGAAATAGTGCACTTTAAATTGAGGCACAGCCCTGGCTCAGTGCTAGGGAATCATGGGAATTGTATTTTTTTTCTGGGATATTGAGTCTTCTCTGTCAAAGAGCTCGGGTGCCACAATAAAATACAGTTCCCATGATTCCCTAGCACTGAGCCAGGGCAGTACCTCAATTTAATGTGCACTATTTCTGGCAGTCTGCAAAGGCCTATATTTAGCCTTCTCTAGCAGAGATCTTTGACACCACAACAAACTACAAATCCCAGGATTCCATAGACAAGCCGCGTCAGTTAAAGCAGGGTCAATCTGGATTATTTCTGCAGTGCGGATGTATACTAAGACACCACTGCCCACAAGTACAGTATGTTCAGTAAAAAAGTGACCTTCTTTTGGGTTAGGTTAGAAATCCTGAGTGTAGTATTTCTTTCCAAGGCTGTAAAAATGTTGTGCTGTTTTACAGACTCTATCACAGTTTACACAGGGCTTTCCCAATGTTTGCCTTTGTGGCCCCAATTTACACAGGGATTAAAGGAAAACCCAGGATAAAACGTGCACGAATGTTGCTCTTTGGACCTATTAGCGTGTGCATCTAGGTCTTGTATTTGTAGGTATACTTTGGGAAAGTTAACTTTTTGTGGACTATTACTCCCAGGATCTCCCAGAAGTATACTGAATTGGAGAGAGAATGGTTATAAGGGGCTTGTCATATAACTTAATATAGTCATTTCATAGAATCAAAGAATCATAGAAATGGAAGAGACCCCCAAGAGCCATCCAATCCAGCGCCATGCAGGAACTCTCAATCAAAGCACTCCCGACAGGTGGCCATCCAGCCTCTGTTTTAAAACCTCGAAAGAAGGAGACTTCATCACTTTCCAAGGGAGTGTCTTCCACTGTTGAACAGCTCTTACCATTAGGAAGTGGACTTTGAGTAGGTTTTCAGACAACTTTCCCATGCGGTGTCTTAGGAATGATCCTAACAGAGAGAAAGAGTCTGTCTCCAAGTGGACTTTAAATAGGTTTTCTGACTATTTAAACAGAGAATCATACAGCTGAAAGGGACACCAAGGGATAGCTATACTAATCCCCTAGAATCTCCAACTTTAAATAGGTTTTCTGACTATGCCAGGGCTGTCTTAGGTTCAAATTCCCACTGGCAAAGAAGTCATGGAGTGGCATAGAGGAAGCCATTCAAAGAAAACCACAACAAGTA